CGCCTTCGCTCAGTGTGTGGTGACCTCGGTGTGGGGTCGGCGGCCCCTGGGGCAGGGGCTGCAGGCAAATGCGGGTCTGCTTCTGCACGGGCACAGTTGTGGCGACTGCTTTTCCCTGACCGCTTTGCCGGTCACAAATTCTGGTAAAACGGGGTCGCAGGCTCTAAGCACATGTGCAAGGTCTTCGGGCAAGGCGGCAGATGGTGCAAGAGGCCGGACACCGAGCTCCCAGTTGCGCCACGCTGAGCCAGGGCTTGCTCTCACCGTTGTTTGGGCTCCTGCCTAGAAACCTTCCCGGCCCTGCACTGCCCAAGGTCTGGGCTTTTCCCTCTGCGTCCCAGCAGGACGTGGCTGTTGCCATCGGGGTTTGGGACCGGGCGAGTATTCCGTCTGTCGGGGGCTGAGATGGGGAGGCGAGAGGCGATAGAGCGGCTCAGGGCAACTGCTTCCAGGCCGCAGGGCTCTGCCTCGCCATGGGGGATTGGTAGGGACCAAGAAAGCAGGGGAAAAAAGTGAGGTTCAGGAGTTCGGGTGTGTTTTTTAGAAAAAACAACTACTGAACTAACAGTCTGCATGGTTGTACCTCCTCCTGGGGGAGAAAACCCCCAGAAGTGGAGCACGGGGGGCAAGTGGAGCAAGGGGTGAGAACCGCAGGCCGCTGGTACGTGCGGCTTGCCAGCCCCTTCCCCCAGGGGTTTGGTATCTTGTGTTTGTTTGGGTTGGTTTGTTGGCCTGGTGTCTTTTTTTTTTCCCTTCCTGACCAGGGGCTGCTGACCCCGATAAATGTGTCGCATAAGCGTGGGCGAAATGTGCGGGTGCCTGACATAGAGTCGGGCCGCCCCTCCTCCACGCTCTGCGGCTGCAGATCAGCCACCAGCCGGGTAGGAGCATCCCGTCATCCCGGAGTGATGGGAGACTGCTGCCTCCCAAACCGGCATGGCGTTAATTGGGTGGGCCCTGTCTCCCCTGCAGCGGGGCGATACGGTCCTCCCGTCGCCTCTGCGTTGCTATCTCCCGGGTGCAGGGGAGCTGGGTGGGGAGAGGAGGCGGCCAAAACACCCGCGGGGGACAGGAGAGATGGCCAGAGGGAGGCCAGCGTTCCGCCATGCTCCACAAAGCCCAAAAAGCACCCCATAGCAATGCCTGTACCCTATCCCAGGTTGTGGCTGTTGGAAAGGTCCTAGCCTTGAGCATGGGGAGAACCCACAACCACACAGCACCCCGGTCACACGAGTGCCAGCCAGCATCCTGCTCGTATAAGGAGCTTGCCCTTAAAAACCAGCTCCTAAGTCCGTTCAAACCGTGGTAGTCGGTCCAGTACCCGGAGGCAACACCCCGTCGCCATTTATTTACACCCCTAAATCCCGCTCCGCTCTTGGCATCACCAGGCTGAGCCAGCTCTGTGCCAGGCTGAGCGCGCTGCATCGCACGCCGGAGGCTCAGGGCTAGACCTCTGGTAAGCACGGCTGGATAATCAGCAAATTTCCCTGTTTTGCCACTAAAAAAAAAGCACTGAAGCGCTTGGATGTGAGTGCCAGCGAGGTCAAGTCCCACTGCTGGGGATTTTGAGCCTCTCTGGAAATGGGAACTGGGTGAAACGAAGTGTTGTCGCTGGCATTAGTTGCCAGAAGTGCCCCGGTGCACTCGGATGCCATCAGTCCTGCCCCTGCGAGGCAGAGGTTGTTACTCGGTGGATCTGATGGACATGGTTTGACCATTTCAGCTGGAAGTGGGCAAATCCCCGCTGGATCCAGTTGAACACAGCATGAGGAGGAAGGGGAAGGTGAATAGGATTAAGGAGGGGATTCCTCTGTGGGGCTCTGTCCTCTGGATTAATTGGAGAAGCAATATTTCCCAGTCTCTGCTGCCTAATGCCAAGAACGGCAGGTACGGGAGGATTGGAGCAGTTGGGTACCCTTGTTTGAGGAAAAAAAGGGGTGCGGGGGGCAACCTACACCACCCTGGGCATGGTGGCAGGTTCCTGTGGCCAAAATTACAGGCACAAGCCCAAGCCAGGCACAGGTGGCCCATAGGAATAGCTTTTCCTTCTGGATGAGCCCCCACACACTGCCTGCAGCGGGGTGCTGGACCCCACTGCCCAGAGGCAGCAGGGCTTGCATTGCCCTACAGCATCTTCATCCCACCTCTGGGCCCAGCATCCCACCAGGGGCTGGAAAACCCCTCTCAGTCCTGACCAGCGCATCCTAAGGATGCCTCGGTGTAACGGTGCAGGGTTCAAGGGGTGCTTTCCCATATCAAATGGGGTGCTTAGGGGTCACCTTGGCCAGGATCCCCCACCATGTGCAAGGCCGGCAGCAGCCTGGTGGGTTGGGACCAACTGTATGCTTTCCCTCCACCAAATCGCTTGGGGGTACGGGGTCTTCCCCGTTTTGACCGGCTAAAAATTAGGGAGCTAGTCCAGATGAAAGGGCCGGAACCCCCACGTACAGGGGGGAGGGCGTTTGCCTGCCGGCAGCGGCACCCACCAGAGGAGGCTGAGCAGCCCCGGTCGGCTGCAGGAGCTGCCCAGGTGACTGGCTGAGATTAGCCCCCCCAAATTCTCAGCTGGCTAAAGTTAGGTAGAGCATCTGCCCCCCTCCCTCCCTGCCACCCCCACCCCTCGCCTCCCCGTCGCTGCGCTGCCCTGATAACAGCTGCCCCATTTTTAGGGCTGGCGGCTCTGCCGTCTGCCCGCGGCGCTGCGCCGACTACAG